TCAATGTGCTTCATGCCACCCTCAACACGCATCTCCTTGCTGGAGAAGTTGCTGTGCAGGACCGGCACCGTTCCAGTCACCGGGGATGGGCTTGGGCTCGACCGAGACCTTGGCGCCAAACTCCTCGGCGATGCGGGCGAGGAGGAAACGAGCGAGCCAGAGCTGGTCACCCATCTCAATGCCGTTGCAAGGACCGACCTGGAACTCCCACTGGGCAGGCATGACCTCGGCGTTGGTGCCCGAAATCTTGACGCCGGCGTAGAGGCAGGCCTTGTAGTGGGCGTCGACAATGTCGCGCTGGACGACCTTGCCGGCACCAACACCGCAGTAGTAGGGGCCCTGGGGAGCGGGGAAACCGTTCGAGGGCCAGCCGAAGGGACGGTTGCTGAGGTCGAGGAGGGTGTACTCCTGCTCGAGACCGAACCAGGGCTCGTGGTCAGCGTGAGCCTCCATCAGCTTGGCGCACTCATGGCGGTAGTTGAACTTGTTGGGGGTGCCGTCGGCGTTCCAGCACTCGGCCAGGACAAGGATGTTAGGGGAGCCACGGAAGGGATCGGCGAAGACGGCAACGGGCTTCAGGTAGACGTCCGAGTTGTCGCCGGGCGCCTGACCTGTGGAAGAGCCGTCGAAGTTCCAGGTGGGAAGATCGTCAACAGCGTACTCCTTCTCGGCAAGTGTCTGAAGTCTTGGTTAGCGGCAAGGTTCGTCACGGGTGTGATGATGAAGACGCATCGCGTGACGAAAGGGGCAAAAGGGCATGAGATGCCATGTCGTCAATCCATCGATCGTGGCCAGCTTGGCGTTCCGATCTGACATCATCCCCCCCCCAATGACCGAGGCAACTGGAGGAGCCGACCCGGAACGTGTTTGGTTCGCTGAGGTCGCTGGAGTAACCCCTCCAGCCGGCGGCGGATCCAGCGCCCTGCTTCGCCCGGCCCAAGGGGGGCCGTCATTGGGTCGGTGGACGCCTAGAGGGGCTTTGGTCCCTGATGTGGAGTCTTTGCCCGCCTCTGGCTTCAGAGGGTTGTAGGAGAGTGGTAGAGGGGGAGGGGAGGAGGGGCACACCAAGACGACTCATGCGACGCCCCACACACTCTTGCGCTCCAGGCCCCATGCCACACGGCCGCCACAGCCAGAAGCAGAGCCGGACCAGGCGAGGCCCAGGGGCCCAGAAGCCCCAGAAGCCCCGAACCGACCGCTTGCAGCCGGGCCGCCGTCACCCCCGAGTTTTCGCTCCTGTGCCATTGCGCTCTTCGGCGCTGCAACAGACGCATCAACTCAAACAGGGAGAGGGATGTGTATGCAATGAATACAGCAAGGTGTGTGTTGTGTGTGCAATTCGTTCATGTGTATGGATCGCAGCGTGGAAGGAATTGTCGACTCACCCTCGCCTTGGAACGGGTCTCGCCATCAGCGTCGATCCAGATGTACTCGGCGATGATGGAACCCTTCTGGTCGAGCCTGAGATACTTCATCAGGTTGTCCGTCCTTGAAATCTGAGCTTCGGCCTGTTGGTAGGAAACAGAATCAGCATGCTGTAGACCATGGTAGGGTGCCCGTCAAGGAGGCTCCCCTGAGAGAGCCGTCATGACGTGGGGCAGCAGCAAGAACTCACCATATTTGCGGTGTTTGTGTGGGTAGTGGGGAGAAGGGTTGGGAGGAACGGGTTGCTGGTGTCCGGTAAGAACAGAGAGGTTTGTGTGTATAGCAAGTCTTTATGGTTTGACCGCAGTCAGAAATGGTAGAAGATTGAGGGTGTAGAATGAGGAATCGTAGAGGGAAGGCGATAAGGAAGCACTGGGGACCCGAGTTGGTTTTATGTTTCCATCTTTTCTAGCAGCCCGTTGTCGGCTGAACGCACCAGAAGCAGAGCGCACAAGGCGCCGCAGCAGCACACCTGAGGGACGCCGGCGCGCGCGAGGCAGGGTACATCGTCAGGTACCCAAAGCCCCAAGCCGCCGCCGCTCGCTGGGGCCTACCGACACCCCATCCCAACTATCGCAAGCGGTGGGGTGGGAGGGGTGGTGGGGTGCCCGACTTATCCCGGCCACCTCAGTGGGCAGCCACACCCCCCGGCCTGGAGCCTTGGTGGGGGCTTGGTACCAGCTCATGTCCATCCCAGACAACGCCCAGCACAAGCGTGGCCTGCGAGTGAGTGACAGTGAGTGACTTGCCGCTGGTCTCTGCGATGACTCCTATTCTTCCCCCTTGGGTAGGTACCTATGTGCCCGTCAGTGTACCTCCCAGCCAAGTACCTCTCTCTCTCTCTCCTTCTTGTTCCGTCCGGGACATCGTGATGCCAGGATGATGCCCAAGACTAATGACTTCACCCGGCTGTCCCAAAAAGGCCAGTGTTGGGGGAAGAAACGCTGTTCATTCCTCTACCCCCTCCCTGCAGTTTTTCGCCGTGTCGACCGGCCCGACCTCCACAACCCAGCATGACGACTCTGCGCAATACCCGTGTATGTACGAGGCGCTGACCGACCGCTCGTGAGACCAGATACTTGTTACGTGAGAGCTGTCCCAACACGAAAGTCAGTGTTCTATCCTTGGAAACGCGCCAGCGCCGTCCGTCCGGTGGCTGTGGCACCTGGGGCCCGGGCTTTACGACACATCCAAGCCCGCCAGAATAAAAGAGAGCCTGTCCTGAGTCTGCTCTGGGCTCTCTCTAGCCGGGAACGCTGCCTTGATGTCTTCGGGGGTCCAGACTTTCCAATACCGTCTTCCATTGGAGTGCTCACCGAGATGGCCAGCGGCTGACCGATGGCAAAACGCTTTTCATCTCGCTCAATGGTCGCGGCGATTGGGAGCAGCGCAACGATACCAGAGGCACTGACAATGACAATGACACAGCGCCCGCCACCACGCCGTGCCATGTCCTGCCACCCACGAGTTCATCCACATGGCCCCCCGTGTACCATCTCAGCCGCCCCAAAGTTCACCCTCCGATTCCCTTCTTTCCCCAGATTGCTGGTGCACCCTGTCGATAATTAGCTCGCTGGTGTGGTCGCCAGTCAGCTCATCAGTATTATCAACCGCAATCCAAGCCCTGGCCCTGCCCGCGCTCTTGCCCCCCCTCCCGAAAGCCACACCCCCGTCTCCTCGAAGGAAGGAAGGACGACGGCATGATATCCTCTTGGATCCAGTAGATCGGCCCTCGCAACACCCTGTAGATTGGCCGACGCCTGCCCGTGCGCCCATCGGGCTCGTTGGCGGGGCGCCGCGATATCAGACAAAGCCGGGTTGGGGGGGGGGGTCGTGTCCAGGCCGCGTCCCTTGTTCCTTTTTGGCTGCGCTCTGCCACATGCCACCGAGTCGAGACCTTGAAAAGCACGCACTAAGACTTGCCTGTTCCTTTGACGTTCCTGATGGACACTGCAGGCTGGCTCTCAGCCAGATCAAACCCGGACGTTGAGCATCTTGCAGGCTCTCTGCTGCCTCCTCAGCCGCGCGAGGATTCCCACGCAAAGTGAAACCCGTGCATGGTGGGGGCCCTCCTATCAGAAGCCAAACGGCGAGGGGCAATTTGGTGGGGTGGAAGTACCGACTTGCCAACCCAGCCCTCCACAGCCCTCCACATCAGTCGCCGCCGGAATCGCACCTCCTTTGCCCTCGGTGTTTTCTGTGCGAAGCTGGCACCCCCTTCCTGTCCGCTTCGCCGGCCGCCGGCCCCCTTTAACCAGTCGCGACAATTCACCCGAGACCTTTTTAGTCGAGCGAGAGTCGTTCCGATCGGATGGACAATCTCCAGCGGCCTGGGGTATAGCGGGTTGATGAAAGAGAGAAATGGCCAATGTCAGTGGTCGTGTTCGTCAGCGCCTTGCTGCTGTTTTACCTTGCTTTTCCTCCGTGATATTGCCCGAGATGGATTCAATGCTGGTGAGCTGGCCAACTGGCTGCCTTTTTTCTTGAAAAGAACTCGGGAGTTGAAAATTGGCCTAGTTGTCAATGACTACTTGTCCGCCGCCCTGGCGAGCACCACCGTGAGCGCGTCGATGAGGGGGGGGGGGGGAGCGTCCTGTTGCATTCCTGGGATCCAAAGCATCAAGCCACGCTTGCGGCGGTGTGCTCGAGGCGCAACGGCACAGGCAAAGAGACTCGACAACATGGGTACCTGCGTCAGAAGTAGTCGAAGTACTGTCAGAAGCAACAGAGCCCAATAAAACGAGTCGCATTAACGACATGTACCCCAGTACGTACCCCAAGGTTCCCGTCTCAACGCAAAACACACCCCTTAGGAGATTTTACTCGATTCCATCGTCAATCCGTCAATCCCCGTACTCCGTTGCCGCTCTGGGTAAGCAGTGAAGTAAAACTTTGATGATTCCATTATCACACATCGTCAATCGAAGATGTGACAGCAACAGGGCGGCCAGGACCCACCAGGGGGCTATCTGGCAACTGGGAAACGCCGTCGAGGAATGGTGCACCGTGGGCCCTCACTGGCGCTGCTGGCGCATCCGTCATGCAGGGTCTTATCATCGGTCGCTGATTGGTGGCCCTTGACGTGCAGCATAATTGAATCTTCTCAAGCCTCACACTGAATCTTGTCCGACTGGACGTACCTTCAAGAAACATTAATCGCGCAGGCATCCCGGAAAAGATGTTGAATGAGAAATTCCCCGGTTGTTTCTTGTCGATTGAAGTGCCGTACATACTTACACACAACATCTTGTTGCTTTCAGGCGGCTGCTGCCACACTTGCTCTTCAATTTAAGCAGGCCGAATGTCGCATGCCCGCAAAGCCCGGCTCCAGCAGTTCTCGACAGGTCTCGATTGCGACGGGTCTGAGATCGACTGGCGCGATGCGGCGCATGACAGCTGCTAAGCGACTGACGGGTCGGCAGAGTGGCTGGCCAACAGGCTGATCTCTTGAGACAAGCTGATGACGATGGTGCCCAGGACCGGAGATTCCTTTGGCTCGCATGTCGCCTTCTCCGACAGTCAAGCGACATGACACGACCGCGCCGCCGGCCGAACGCGCCCTTGCGCCCTCCTCGACAAGCCCGCAGACGGGACCCTGGTTTGCCGAATTGGCTCGCAAAAGGCTTCGACAGGAATTCGAGAACGATACACGAGAGCTTGAGGCCCAGGAGGCCTGAGAGGCCCACGAGAACTGGCCGGTAACGTCGCTGAGTGGTTGGTGGTGACAAAGAGATATTCCCTCATTGGTCGGGAGCCGAACACCGGCCCTCTGCCCTCGGCAGTGCGCGACGAGCCCTCGAGGCCTTGTAGACCCTTTGGACAAGGCCTCTACAGCCCATGACGTCTGCCTCGCTCAAACAGGACGGCTGCGCAATGTGAGAACATGGCACATGTGTAGGCTGCCTCGCGTCTGTCGCAATGGCTTCAAGGGGTCATTTGGACCGACCGAGCGAGACTGAACGTTATTCGCGCGGTGACATCGTGACGTCGCGGACGGCAAGTGTCGGTCCTTGCGGTCCATGCACTGATTGCGGTATGGGCCGTCGGCCAAACGGCGGTGGAGACGTTGTTGTCCGTCCTGTCACTCGTCAGGCGGTCGACATGTGAGGTACCACACAACACAGTGGAGCACTTCAACCCAAGTCCATGAGTTGAGTTTTCTTCGGCAGAGGCACCAGTGTCGTCCAGCTGCTCCTCGAAAATGAGCCAAGACATTGTTGAAGTTTGTCTTGACGCTCGGAGAACCTCGCCCTGATCGACGCGAAGCCGACGGTTGTGCTTCATGCGTTGGCTCCCTGTTGTTCGCGGAAGGAAGGTCCAGCAAGGAAGGTACCGCCAACGTCATCTCAGCAGAACCTGCTCGAGGCCGCATTGGTAGGCGCATTAGACACCGCTTGTTGCGACTCACCGGTCGCCCTTGGAAGAAGGCGCATTCAAAGAAAGCGCAGCTGGCGCTGATTGATTCAAGTCATACGTGCGCATGCAGTTTGGGAAGGAAGCCTCGGCCTGCCTGCTCTACCCCCTAAGCAAGTGCGAGTGAGTCGGCCCTTGCCAGCGGTGAGGCAGAGGATGGTATTGAGGGTCGTAGCAAATCCAATCATAACTCCGTCTCCTCATCCGATGACATATCGTGATATCAATCGCCAGTGCGCTGCCCTTGTTCTTCCGCGAGAATCCAAGTTTCGAGCCCTATCATCACGAGATTCTCTCGGTCTCATGAATTGGACTGAAGGAGCCCTGCAGCGGCACACGCGCGGCAGGGGCCGCAAGGCAGATGTCGTCAAGCAGAAACAATTTTTCGCAAAGCCACGATCGGCTGTTCCACTCCCCGATACCGACATACCATCATTCCTAGGGGAGCTCCAACCACAGCGGGCTTTCGACACCGCATACACGACCCCGGTTATACGCAACAAATATACCGCGCCCCAGGGTACCCGTTCCCTGAGCCGTAGGCAGCGAGAGCAAGATTTCGATGCTAGACGTCGCCGACTGTTGAAGACGAAAGACTGGGCTGGTATCGCAAATCAAAAACCATTCATTGTTCAAGCTGCTCTCCAGTGTCGTTCCACTGAGCCGCAGAAATAGGGATTTGGAGGCAAAAGTGATCGCACCTATGGGCACTTCTCGCATACACGGCATACTGTGCACAAGCGTCAACATGATCACTCAGATTCGCGGCCGCGGGATATCCGAATCAGGATCGGCAGTCAGGATGTTCGGCACGGTGTTTCTCGTGCGAGCCATATGACAACAAGCTCTTCCATGAAGCAGACTTACAATACCGCGCAGATAGCGTCTAATCACCGTGGCAGCAAACACCTCTCATCCCCGTACTTTCAAGGTGACGCGGGAACGCAACCAGGAAAGAGGCGATATGTATCGCGAATCCCGACCGACTATAATAAACTGAAACTTACATCTACCTCCCTGCCAAGAAAGAGATCCGAACTTAGCCCAGCAAAATTTGTCAACACGGCCCACAGTTTGATTCATAATGCGATGCAATCCAGTGCCGGGCATCAGAGCTATCAACATCAACCTCTTCACGCACAGTATTTACCGGCTTATGTCCACCATCCCGTTCCCAGGCGCATAGCCAAACTCAACCTGATCCACAAGTCACTGTCTTTGAGCACCAAGGCTTCTGTCAGTGACATTGCTCAAGTTGGTAGCAGTCCGGTGTTGTCTGGAGTGCCGTCTGGTTGCAGCCACGGGGAGCGATGGCATTCGTTTGCGACTGCTCCTTCACATGGCACACCTGAAGCGGTGAGGATAGGTTCAACGAACCTCAGCCCGCCAGACGTAGCAGTCGGTCCTGGAACTAGCTCTGTCGAGACCCAGGGCGAGATGGTATATGGTCCTAGATTCGACTATTCACCTATGAGCACCTCTCCAGTGAACGAATCTGCGGCACGTACCAGAGTTTCCGCATCAACAGTAAATGTACAAGGTTCTATCCAGACAGCGTGTATCTCGCCGCATCCTCAGCTGTGTGCTCAGGCGATGGCTGCCTCACTGAGCAGTCACGATATTCACAACAGTGTCGAGTCGTCACAAACAAACATATACGCAAATGACGCTCCTCACGAACCTGTACAGGCGAGCATGGGCAAAACGATCAATTGCCTGGCTGCTGTTGACATTGAAGAAGAGAACATGACGCATAATCAGTGCTCCACGAGGCAGCAAGAGACTGTACATTGCGAGGATGATTCATGGCCAAGGTTTCTGGATGTCAGTCATGGCAGTAGGGGCACCCTCCAGACTGCCTCTCTGGAGGTCAAATATGAGGCTATCAGCGTCATGGGCCTGCCGAGTAGCAATAGTGAGGACTCTTCACAGGCCCTAGAGACGAACGCTACATGCGACTCACTGTCGTTCAATACTATAGGCCATGAAGAGTATGGGTATACTGCTCGAGAAGGGTCTCCAACAGTAGCAGTAACAGCAACAACTTCATCGCCACTGGCATCGGACCCGACAGTAGCGGGACCCTGTCGACTGCCAACGTTATACGACGGCTCAAATAGTTCAGAAGCAGGCTTGCGGCATCTCTCTCTGTGCCAGCATGAACAATCGCTGAGAAGAACAATGTCAAAGGAACGTAGTCCAGATTGTACAGCGACGCATACGCGAGCACCGACTACTGCCACCGAAGACAACATACCCGAGCCACACAAGTTCTATCTTCCCGAAAGATTTGTTGGCAGGCTAGCACGACCTCAAGTACCCTCTGCCGCGCCTATCATGCAGCTGAGTGTACATGACGGACCGCGGCGAAGGGGACGCCTGAGGAAGAAGGCAAGGGACGGCAGGGCCAACATACGTGCTCTACCTGATTATTTCAGTGATCCTATTGTCGAATAAGTACGTCGACACGCGCAACAGCGATCATCTGATTGCTTCTTGTTACTCTATGGGCTCCATGTCTAGGCGCGTAATTCAGTCAAATGTTCTCACATATCCAATGGTTACAGAGGCAGCAGCTCGAAATACATGGTATTCTGTTCATGTGTAGCGTTAAATGAGTGTGTCGTATCGCCATCCTTCGGCGTCCGTGGGATATAGATGCTAGCTAGGGTCCTGGCCCTGCTGAAAAGTACAAAAAGACGTGAAAAAAAATACAGACCCCAAATAACCTGAGAATCATACAACCAATGTAGGTATCCAGACCTTTCTATACCGAAACCCCTTCCCGTCGAACCCAGCTCGTACCGTGGAAGTTCCAGAGCTCCGTTGGTTGCCTCTCCCCGTGGCCCCCACCCCGCTACGGGGTATCACATAAGAAACGCATCTTGTTTTCCCTCCCTGCTCGTGTTCTCTATCTTGTCCTCTACGTGACCGAGTGGGTCGTCTTACTACGCTTCGCGAGTACCGCACTCTACAGAAGCCTGTGGTTCCTGCGCACGTCGTGCGCGTGCTGCGCCTGCGGTCGACAAAGTTGTGACGGAACGGCCTGTACTTCTTCGGCTGCTCGACCTCCTGCCGGCCCTGCTCAGGCACAGGCGTGGCGGTGGCGACAATAGTCTCGGTGACGGTGACTGCCGTGCCGCAGTTGGAGGCGGTCTCAGTGACGGTGACGGGCGCGGGGCAGGTCGGCGCCGCGGCGGTCGGCGCGGCCGAGGGGTGGACTGTCATGGTGATGACGCCGACCTGGCCGCCCATGGTGATGGTGACGACGCCGGTCTGGACGTGAGGGGGTTGAGCGGCCTGGCCGTTGCCGCCCTCGGGGACAAGGGGCACGGGGGACGGGTGGACGGTGACGATGGCGGTGCTGATCTGGGGCACGCCAGGCTGGGCGGGGTTGGGCGCCATGGTGATGGTCACGATGGAGGTAATGGGCTCGGCCTCCTGCACGGGCTGCACAGGCTTTGCGGCCTCGACCGGCGCCGTCGGTTCGGGAGCGGCAGGCGCGGGCGTGGCGGTGACGGTGATGATGCTCACGCCGCTCTCGCCTATCGTGGCCACAGCACCGGAGGGCAGGGCCGAGGTGGCGATGACCTGGCCACCGCCTGCGACGATGTGCGACGTGGCTTCCGGAGGGTTGGTCTGATCGGCGGGCAGCACCACGGTCTGGGTGATGGTGGTGGGAGCAGTAGCAGTGGCGTTGGCGTTGGCAGCGGTGCCCTGGCAGGCGATGAACTGCGACTGGCACTGGGTGAGCTGGATGCCAGGACCGACGATGGACTGGCATTGGGTGAACTGAATGTTACAAGCAGCCACACAGGCCTCCTGGAACTGGCCAAATGTGGTGCCGCCCACGACAAAACCGCCGGCGCCGGGGGCCGGGGCGGGCTGTCCGGGAACAGCAGGCGGCGCGGGAGCCGGCTGCACGGCGGGACAGATGCCGCCAAGGCCGGACTGGAACACGAACAGGGTAACCTGCTGGACAATGATGATGACGGGCTGCCTGATGATAGCGTCTCGGTCGAAACAACGGCAACGGTCTCAGTAGCTGGTGGTCCAGGAGGGCAGTGATGATCTGCTCTTGGTGACAACGCTCGTGACGTCACATGTGTGAGGACCTGTGTAAGAGTCTCAACCTGGAGCTTCGTGGAGACTTGAACCGGATGATGCTGCGCTGGTCAGGGTTGCTTCGCTGATGATGCCACTGGACAGCGAGGTGCCGTTGACAGCAATCGGGATGGAGGTGGTTTGGGCGGCTTCCTCGGAAGCCGTGCCATTGACAACTGGAAGCGCTGAGCTGAGAGCTAAGCTTTCGGTCGCCGTTGCAACATGCGTGGTGCTGTTGGGAAAGAGACTGCTCGTAGCATCGGCTCCCACAATATGAGACGTGGAAAGCTCGGTTGCCTCAGCCTTCGAAGCACTGGAAGTCGCGTTGACACTGGGTATCGCGATGGCGCTGGAGAGCTCGATGGCGCTGGAGAGCTCGATGGCGCTGGAGAGCTCGATGGCGCTGGAGAGCTCAATGGAGCTGGACACCTCGAGAGTGCTAGAAACCTCTGGGACACTTGTGCTCGCGAGGACAGCTTCGGTAAGCTTAGAGGACGACAGGGAGGCTGACTGCTCGATAGACCCCGTGGGGAGTGATTCGGTGACGGTCGTGCTGACCGAGGCAGCTGGCGTGGAGAGGATCGGCGTCGGCGCGACCTCGAGAGAGGATGAGAGTTCCGCAGGCACTTTCGGCCCCTTTGCAACGGGAGCCTCGACGACGGGGGGCACCGGGACGACCTTTGGACCAGCAGCGGCGGCAGGGGGCGGGATGACGCCGCCCTGAAATTGGCTCTGGAACCCTTGCTGGGAGGCAAGTGTCTCGCTGGCGAGGAGGAGGAGGAGGGCGGTGGCGCTGGCTTTGAACATCATGGTGAGATGTGATCTGTGGGTTCCGATATTGTATATCAGGAAGTTGTGGATAAAATTGGCTGCCTTTCAAAGGAGAGAATGAAACGAAAAGCCCACTGGAGGAGCGAGGTGTCCTGGCACCGAGAAGAGAACGACAAGATGCGGCAGAGAAGGGAAAGAATGGAAAGGAACACTCGGAAGGATGGCAAAGAGAGGGAGGGAGAGAGAGAAAGAGAGAGCAATGAGGCTGAAGCTGCAACGGGTCGTGATGCAAGAGGGGCGAGGAGCTGTCATCTAAATAAGGCAAAAGATCAGTACGTCAAGAGCCTCACTTCATCCTATGACTTCGGACCAATAGCTCAGCCCCTGACCAGGCTGCTGTGCGGGACATGCTCATGCATCGCCAAGCTTCGCAGGGCGGTCGATCATGAGACACATCCCGTGGAGAGCAAGCCGAACCAGACTTGTCCCAGGGGGAGGGGGGATACCATAAGCTTAATCGCGTGTTCCGACGGCGGCCATGTTGCCCAGAAAAGAGCGCCTGAACGGATGGTGGGACCTAAAGAGGGGTGGTAAGAGGCTGGGATCCTCCAGGCCGAGCGTGTCTCTGCCCACGTCCTGTTTCTGTCCTATTTCTTCGGACGAAGCTGCGCCACCGTGGAAACTGGGATGATGTGCCGCACATCCATCGATGGAGCCTGAGATGGCAACTCCAGCCTTGTTCATCGGGTCCGATAGACATCAGGTCAGAGCAGGCGAGCACGCCAAGAATGTTACTGTCAGGGTTGGGCACTTCAAACGTGGTGGCCCCTCGGCCCAGGTCAGACACAGCACATGGGGGGTTCGTAGTCCATTGAGCTCCAGCGTTGAAGGTGCAGAAGAAGAACATGTCCAGCTCATTCTCGTACGGGGAGCAGAGAGCTCAGACGGCGAGCAGAGAGGCCAAGACACTTCGACGTTTCTGGAGAAGGGCGCGAGAAACAGGGGGGGTTGTGACAGAACGAAGGCACGGGAGGATAGCCAGGGATCCAGTCGCATCTTCTGTGTGAGCAGCTACGTCAGCAGAGGTTTGCAGGATGCAAAACAGAGGAGAGCTGGGAAAAGTTGAGCAGTTGAGGTGGGTCAAGCAGCCACATCGTGAAGCAGGTCCATGGTGGAGTTGAGGAGTCGTCAAGGAGGTCAAGCCGACGAGGAGCATGATTATCGCAGGGGTATGAGATCGGCATAACGGGACCGCCGGTGAATTTACGCCAATCAAGGGCTGTGTCCTGCTGACATAACGCGTTTGGGGATGGAGCCTCACGTTTGAGCCTGGGGGCCTCACCTCTCGGGGCCTCCGCAGCGTCAGAGGTGACGGCAACCACTACAGACGACAAACCGTCCGTCGCACAGGGCCAAGTGCGCCTAGAATCCTTCTCTTGCTTGTCACCCTCCCTCCCCTACCTACTTACCCACCTTTTGCCCCTCCTCTTCGTTACCAGCGAAACGCATCCAACACCCCTCTCTCTTCACCTCGACAACGACCCTCGCGACGGTATCCCAGCGCCTCTGTTTGAGATCATTCACCTGTCACAGCCGCTGTGCCCCTGTGCCGGCCAGTCCTCGAGGCTTCTCCGCCTGTTGATCGACAAGTCAGTATTCACTTGATGTCCGGGGCAGGCATGCAATTGCCGTGTTATGGTTATCATCATGGGTTCTATGATCATGATCGACTGGTCGCGAGAAAGCCCCGGTGCCCATCCACTCTTGACATCGGCCAGCCCAGAGTGTGGCAGTGCCGGCCTCTGATTACAGGAGCCATCATCCTGCAACTACCTTATCAGACGGCAAGTGCTGCTGGCTGGCGAGAAGCAGCTCTGCTTCCAGCTCCATGCTTGGCATTGAGTATCGTACCTTTCATCGCAATATGCACATTTCATCGCAACATGCACACAACACCACCTTGGCAGGCATGTCATCTGAGCTACTGTCCTAGAGTCGCGGTGAGATAGGTAACCTGCAAGCCCGCCAGATTGCGACATAGTCGTCGGTGTGACCCACCACCCAGCCAAGCCCACACATTCGTTCATCGAGCCTTGTCCTGTTCTGTTCTGGTGAGGAGGTCCCCACCCGCCTTGCCAATGGTTTCGAATCGGCCTCTGGCCACCCTTCAACCCACCCTTTTCCACTGCAACATCTGAAAAGGGGGCGGCTTAGGCTCTCTTGACACTCAGCATGTCGCATCGACTCACAGGGTTGTCCCGTCCACCAGCCGACCTAGTACTCGGTTCCTTGTCTACTGATCTGAGAGCCCCGAGAATAACCACTTCTTGGGGTCCGTTTGGAAGCAGACTCGGCCAGGCTGCCGACCTCTCTAGCTCAAATCTGCGCATGAAATGCACGAGCATGAGTCCTGTGCGTGTTCGGCAGCCTCCCCGTCCCCGTGCCCTCAACTGTACGGCGCCGTGCTCGAAGCAGACGGCAAAGGGCCCTTGGGCCGTTCACTCCGTAGCGCACGTCGGCTAAAGCTCATTATTTCGTCGCTTGACTGAACTTTCGGGATGAACGGTCCGTCTCGCGTGAACGATGGTATTGAACATCTAAGGATCTGAGCATCTGTCAGGAAGCCAAACGTCTTTGCACATCTGATTGGTTCTGTGTGGTACTCAAAAAGCGACGCGATCCTCGAGGCTCTCATCCTGTCCTCATGGAAGCCAGCCAGATGGCGGATTCTGGTATGAGTCCGACTCGGCCAGCACGTTAAGCTAGATTGGCATTGCTCATTGTCAGTCAACACGCTTGGAGTTCGCCCACGACGCTACCAGCCTCACAGAAGAGGGCACGATCGTCATCTTGGAAGATGTACCTTACTCTCAGGTCAGGAACGGTCGAGCAACTCCGCTCCGAGCCGGGCTCGGAGCTCCGCCACCCAAAAAACTCGGGCGGAGCCCTACCGGCCACTTGCCTGGGGCTGGCCGTGCCGTCGCCAGTCTCCGAAAGTCGGGCTCCGAATCATGAGCTCATTTCCGGGGACCCAGCCGAGTCATATAGCCAGCAAGCCACCCCCAACAATAGCATGCGCTAAACAACCGCGATGACAGCTCGAAAATATTTGGCGACAGCGGTGTAGAGCTTTGGGCCCCGCCCCGACGTCTCCGAGGGTGTTTCCGAGATGCGGCGACGGCTCGGCCGCATGTGGACAGGCCCACGCAATCCACCTTCCCCAAGCCCCCCCGCCTGCCGTCGCCGGAGTAGGAGCTACCAGTGTCACCTGCCTTGCCAGCTTCGCCATGCATTGGGGGGTCTGTGGGTCGAGCCTGCCTCCGCAGCTAACCTGTAGTAGCCTTAGCAGTGGCTTGCAGGTGCGCGACAGTTATGTCACCATCTGGGCTAACTATCGTCACGGGTGCTTCCATGTGTGAGCTTCGACGGACAAAGTGACATTCCGTTCCTCCTTCCCGACCCTATCAACTCCTCACTTCACATACATCCCCAACGTTCTCGACTTGACTGCATGCTGCACAAAGTCTTTTTCCCCCTCTCCAATCATTAGATGCCTTACGTCCCTGCCTCTTTCTCTGCTTCGATCTTCCGCATCTCAACGCGCGTTCCGACCCCGCGCCTATCTCCATAACTGTCGGTCACTTGGGTTTCTCGATCGCGTCACCACCCCTTTCGTTCAAACCCGTCTCGCACATTCGAGTCTCTGCACATTTCTGTCTGCAATGGGACCTGGGGAGTTGACCATACACCTTTGAGACTTGAGACTTTCTGTTGTTCCTCCTTCTGCTCAACCGTTACTTCCGAGCACATTCACAGCTTGCCCCTGCAGCAGGCGACTGATCGTCTGTGCCTGACCGCCAGGTGCACCTGCCCCAGCCTCGATATCGACGATCGAAAAGATACTGCCAACCACACTACAACAGCTGCGCTCAAGATGGTTGTCATCGTAGATCTTGAAGACGAAAACGTCGAGTTAACCTTTCAGACACCTGCTCCTCGACGTGTCTCGGTCGCAAAACCCAATACGCCCAGCCTCAGCTTGGATGACGACCTGCATGAACCGAATACGAGGTCGATCTTCCAAAACTGCATTACGCGAGCCTTTGGACAATATCCGTAAGTCTGCTTCATCGCGCTACACACAGCGTGCTTTTGGTCAGTTTCTTATCGGACTCAATCTGACATGGCATCCTTAGCATCGTCGAATCCGTGGTGCAGCACATCGACCTCAACACTCTCGACAGCCTTTCCCGTACCTCCTACCTCATACACGAGGGCTTGATTCAATACCGCTCTAGTTTACTGAAGGCAACGCTACGCTGCATCAACAGTGAAGAGCCGATTGACCCTGAGTCGACTCTGCGTTTCCGCGCCAGAGCCGGCAACCACTACTTCGAAGCAGATCCCCGTTCTCTGCGTTCCGGTTCTTACCTTCCATACAATGGCAAGAGCGGCCAATGTGCTCGCGACTTGGTGAGCGAGTGCAGGTTATGCGGCGTCTCCGTTTGCAGAGTACGTTTGATCTCCCCGAGTGTGGCACATACATGCCAAGCCGAGGAACATGCTGACGGTCCTCGCAGAACTGCACTATCAAGCGGCCTGGTGCCGCTGCTGCCGCGGAGCGGTTATAGGCGACTCTGCACATCGTGTGTCGATGCGCCTATCGGGGCTTTACTGGGTCCACCAATCGACCCCGATACTCCTCAGGAGGCGGACGAAGTTCAACGAGAACTCTGCCAGTGTGATGAGAATGCCGGTGTATGGCTGTGCCAGCCCTGTGGCAAGGGCATCCGCGCTTCTGATTCGGACTACAATTGGTAAGTCGACAGATGAACTTTTCTCATGCTCCGTGCTGATGCGCCGCAGTGTCTGGAAATGGCGTAATCACTATGGAGAAGTCTTGGGCGGACTTGGAACGGGCATTGGAGACGGCGATCGAGGCGTCATATGCGGGCGGGAAAGCGATTGCGTCGCAGCCAAGGAGGTTGAACAAAGAGACAGATTGCGATGCCGAAGATGCCCGCGAATCTTCGCTAGAAACGATCACTCCGCCTGGCACACCCGGATCGTTCTTGCACCGCCAGGACAGCAGCAGCAGCGTCAGCTCTCATGAGCGCCAACGGACGCCGTCACCACTGCAGCTGGGGCCAGGCTATGAGCGACACGAGATTGAGGGCATCGGCGGGGTGGTGAAGAAGAAGCTCGTCCGGATGGTACGGGTGGGTGCTTTGTGTCCCTGAGTGGGAAGACGAGAAGTCGAAACGCAAGATCATGAACAGAGAGCGCAGCCATCAGGTGCGGAGCTTCTGCGGCTGGTGCTACCGGGTGATCCCCAGCAAAAGTGAGAAGATGGCAGCCAAGTCGGGCCAGGCGATGGGTTTGATGTCGGGCCCCGTGGCATAGCGATTCCGGGACCGCTTCCCGCCGCTTCTCCCCCGACGCCGGGCAAAACACGAGCCAGAGACATCGCTTCCTAGTTTTGAAGCATTTAGATGTGGCGTTGCTCAAACGGAGTTTGGTTGGTTCGTTGGATACGGTAATGTGTTGGCTGATTGTATGCGGAGTTCAAAAGTAATATGAGTACATGATGATGAGACGTCCTTCTCACCACGATAGGTAGTAATAGCTGACATGACAAGTTGCCATAAAGGCACATGTGGAACAAAGGCTCTTCCGCTTCGAGCTCCGTCCTATCTTACAGGCCTTGCTTCTCTTGCCTCTCTCTCTTTCTCTCTCACCCCCCCCTCCATCTATCGAGTGGCCGCGAGTGGTGATACAGCTTGGCAACCTAAGACATAATTGCCGTGGGGGGCCTTTTCCGCCGCCGAGTACCAGACCGGGCACGCCTTCCTGTTGGCTCTCCCCGTCGTTCTGTGTTTCTCTCGTCATTATAGCTCGCCGCGGAACAGCATGTCCTTCCGCTTCGTCCTCTCGGTCCTCGCCTTGGTCCGGATGGCACCCCACCGGTTCTTCACGGCATCGAGCTTCCTCTCGAGCCTCTCGGTGTGCTCCCGCGGGGCGGGGGTGCAGATGGTGATGAAGACTTCGGAGCAGTCAAACTTTTGCGCCAGGCGGTTGACGCTCCACTGGACGGGGTCCTCGGCGCGCAGGCGACGGATCTCGGCGACGTCGTCCTTGTTGAGGTGGTACCGGGGGTTGCGGGAGGGGACGTTGAGCGCGGGCGGCAGCTTGGCGGCGGCGGCGGCGCGGGAGGAGGGGGCGGCGAAAAGGGAGGAGAGGTCGGCGTGCTTGCGGCGCGGGTCGGACTTGGGGAGGAACTTGTAGGGGGTGTGGTAGATGGATGGCTCCGCGGCGGGCGGGTTGAAGATGATGGTGTCGCCGCCCTCGGCGGGAGCAAAGGACGGGTGGGGTGCGATGTTGAGGGCGCGTTTCGTGCGCGACCAGGTCTGGTGCGAGCGGCGGGCGACGGCGCCGGCAGGGGAGAGCGTCGTCGTGAGCAGGCTCGCTGCTGGCCTGGCGAGGGTGCGTGCCTCCATCGTGAGAGTGTATGTAGTATGGCGTGGGCCCCTGAAATGAGGGAGAGGGTAGTGCTGGAGGGAGAGTGGGTTGCGGGTCGATGGAGGAATATCGATCGCTGTCGGGATAGGAAATCAATGCCCTGAATGAATATTGGTACAAAACGTCACGCCGAATGGGGCGGTGATGCGTAGGCACAACTGTCGTCCACGGTCACGGGCTGTCGCGTGTGGCTTCGGAGAGCTTTCGAGATCGCCTCGGAGTTGACTGAAGTTTTTCGAGCTCCACACGGAGTCGATTAGATAAGCGTAGATCACGTGCGGCTGTGCTGGAAAGAAACCCAACTGTCCTGGCCATGGCCCGGGCGCCTGCATCGAGCCGTACCATCTAGTGTCGAGCCGTAGTGGGGCTCCCTCCACCTGAACGTTAAAAGCTTGACCCCGCCGTCCTGAGCTTCATCTCGGTCAGTACTAGATCGTCTAAGCTAGGGAGCTGGGACGCGTTGCCCTTGACGTGTGTCCCGATGCTCAGGGGAAGCCGCAAAAATGCTAGTGACGCCGTTGCTTGTTTCCAACGGGAACCGCGTCTCGAAAAGTGAGGATTGTCCGTATCTATTCTGGGCCCTGGGTACTCGCAGCTGCTTGCGCAAGCGATGGCATTGATTATGCGGATGGGGCCAAACAAGGTAGTCCAATCAGGCTGCGTCATCGGCAGCGACATTGCAGGGTGAGGTGATCTGCAGCGGGAGAGCTGGCCAAGACGACCCTTGAATTCAGGGTCGGCCGTCTCCTGTTGGTTTCTCTGAAGATAACCAGCAGGAAGAGAGGGGCCGGTGCTATTCATGCATTCCAACTTGTTTCTGTGCGTTTCTCGTTTCTTCCCAGTTGCGCCGGGATGCTGCTATGCTTGCGTCGTCACGGATGTTGGTTGGCACATGCTGCTTTGCTGTGGCCTCTCAACAGGCCTGCGAGGTATTTTCCAGAGGAGGGGTTTTGTATTGAGGCAATGAAGGGACCTACCTGGACGGACCGGCTGGCCGAATCAATGGCGAGGCAATGACGGTCAGGGGGGTTCCGCAGATGTCTACATGAATCACAGACAACGCTCGGTCTGCCTGAGAACTGACTTGAAAGGTCAATCGGGGAGAGAGCAGAAGCAAGATGCGAGCTCCAGATCGCTTGTTAGCACAATGCACCAAGCGCCCAAGGGAGGACCTGGTCGAGGTGCCTGACAGGAAATGCCAGGTCACTTACAGCAAAACGCGCGCCCAGACGCCCTGACGGCGGCGTGGCCGTGGGGCCTGCCTGGCGCAGGAAGCGTCAAACATTGGACGTTCATGCCGCCGATGACCAGACGTGACCAGACAAGCACTTTCCTGGTCCCCCCCTTGGCGCTGATCATGGTCGAAGGAGGAGTGCTGTGTGCCCTGCTGCCGACACGAAAATCGCTTTCGATACTTCAAGGGTACCTTATCGCTTCGCTGCATCGTTACCCCGCTCGAGGTCACCTGTATGTGCTGGTGCCAGGTCTGGCTGGCCATGGGCTATCCTGGCCAACTTGCCTCCCTCCAATCAGTCACGGCCCGGTCGTGCCCACCACCCGTATGGAGGTGCCCAAATGCCTGCCTTGTTGCGTCACACGCTCCTCTTCCCTCGGGCTCCTTGCGTTGATACTTGGGCCATGGTAATGCTCTTCTGCCCCCTTCCGGCCTCCTCTGCACGCGCTTTCTCCTGCATTGCATCCCGTCCCCAACAATAAGAGTGACGAGATCCCCGTGGGCACAAGACTGGACCGCCTCTACCTCTCCTGCTCTCCCAAAGTCATTCACCTGGTCTGAGCCCTGCCACCACCGTCGCCAAGACTAGGTACTCACTGTACTGCACAACCATCACAGCGACCGCCCAAGCTCACATCACGTCTCGTTGTGCTTCCGTGTAAGTTTCCATTTGAATGCGCTCAGCGTCTCAGTCCAGCGCCCAGAGCACTCGCCCGGTCATGCGCCTACGGCAATTCACTTCGCCATGGGGCCGTTAGCTGTATCACCCGAACCCCCCCTACCCGTACCATCTCTCTGCCTTTCCACACCTCCCACTAGCCACTCGACGACCCCAACTCTGGGGCGCCCTGGCCGCACCTGTAGAGTTTGACTTATAAGCCAGCTGACCCTGACGAAACCAGACCGAAACCCCTTAGTACTTCGTCCTTTTCCACTCGAGTGATTCAAAGCCTGATTGACAAAATGAGCCTATATACCGACACGACGCAATCCATCGGCCAACAGGGAAGGGATGATGCGACTCCTCAGTTGACGAGCAGGCCAGGCAACGATAGCGATGCAACACCACGGGTCGGCGCTCAGCTGGACACCGATCAGAAAGACGACGGAACCAGGAAGAGATCGTTGTTCAGTTTTGGCAAGAAGAAGAAGGAACAGCTCAGCGCATCTGAGAAGGCTACAGCTGGTACCATCCCGCCCCCCTCTACGCAGCGAAACGTCAAACATGTCTACAACCACCACTCGATCAGCGGCGTCTACGGCCCCTACCGACCAAGCATTCGCCGCCCCAGTGTCTCCTGGTCGGGGTCTCTCCAGCTCGCCGAGGTTAGCATCTCCAGCCGGCTCGCAGATTTTTGAGCGTGACGTCGACACCATGGAGATCCTTCCGCAGTCGCCTGCCAATGCTGGCATTCCCTCGCACATTCGAACCGAGAACCACATTCCGCCCGTTCTCGATGCTTCGTCGGAAGCCATTACCGATACCCGCCTTGACCCTGACAGTGTCGAGATCATCACGCATGCCCAACACCTGCCTGCCTCGGTCACGGTAACTGGCGGTCCTCAGTCCACTCAGCCCTCGCTGGAGCAGCTGGCGGCATCTTGGGCGGAAGAGTTCGGATCTACCGGGGATCGTGAGCTAGATGGCGCCTCAATCTACAATTCTCTCGACAACGCCGATGTTCGCAGACTGAGCTTCATCTCCTTTGCGGACGTGGTGCAAGCTGAGCACGCGGTTGCGCCCAATGCCTCGCGGGACTCTGTCACCATCGCCGGGCTCACTTCACTCTCTGTCAATCGTTCGCCGTCGCCTGTCTTGTCGCCCATGTCATCGCCAGGCGAGGTCGGTACTTCGCCCCCCACTAGCAACCCCGGCTCAATCAAAGGGTTCGAGTTGTCGCCCAAACGAAAGCCAGTCGGCAGCCCCATCCCGTCTCAGCACGCTGGTAATGGCGACCTCAATGTTGAAACCATGACGCAGGCACTCCGGCGCACGGCGAGCACTGATCTGAGCGGCGCTCGTAGCCTTCCGATTAGTCCGATAGAAGGACCCTCTCGATGATTGTAGTCAACAAGGCACATTCTCCCCTTGAAACCCTTGTACGACTTATCTTATGAACAAACAAACATATCTTGCAACTTGGGGGTGCTTGAGAGTTGCACATTACGATTCGACACGAGATACCAAACGGCGGCGAATATTCACTTCTCCGCAGCAATGTCCTGCCTTGGCTTGATTTGAAACATTTCTGTGAACAGGCGCACACGGCTGCAAAGACGCTGGAAATACTTGGGATCCAAGCGAGACTAGGAATTGTAGGCTGTGGCCCATTGGGCGATTAGGCCTGGGTTTTTTTTCTCTTCTTATTCTTTCACAAATTTTGGTGGTTCTCCTGGAGGCGGAGGGTACG